TGCACGTTAAATCTGTAGAGTCGCAAAATTCTTCCATGTTCCCATAACAAATCAATGCCTCTGGGGGTACTGGATTGGAGATCGATCGTACTCTGATCCAGGTCTAAATTACGATCTTTGGATGAATGAAGGGATGTATGAATGGGCCGGTCCTATAAAAAGGTGTGACGTATGGTGTGGCAGAAGTCGAATTCTTGGCCATAGATGGCGCCACTGGAAAACAAGAACAATCGCCTTCCCCCTACCTAAACAGGCATACGTCAACACCACCTCATTCTTGAATGCGTATTCATTAAAAATTTCCAATATGATTAAATTTTCAAAACAAATACCTAAATACTAAATTTCTACTTAAATTATATCGATAAGTACATCACTGAAATAGTAAAACAAAATACGTTGAATCAATTATCGTTATAAATATAATTTTTTTAGAATTTAGAAACTCATTCACAAATATGTAAGCCATTATATAATTTTTGAAAGATTCCTAGTATAGATAGCTTTTATCGGTTCATCACAAATAATCATAGATTTCCTCATGCCTGAAAGCACATTCATTAAGAAATTTCCTGTATTACTGAACTAAATGGCCATTCCATATTCTAAAGGAATCTTATTACAAGATTTCCTGTTCGACTTCGCGCTTCTATTAAAGTTCTATTAGAGGAACAAGCAATGTTAGCGTGCTTCCAGAAATCCTTCTAATCTCTGAAAATTGCGTGAAGTCCCTGGAGATTTTCTCTCTGATCTGAGTTTGAATCTCCGAATTCGTATTAAAATCATGTCACTTCGGGGAATACAAACTCATGCCAGATGAGTTCTGAATAAACTTTTTGACATAACTAATTTCCCCTTTACTGAAATTCGGACTGACTCGAATATACTTCCATCTAAAGTGGTATCCTAACGTGATTCTTTGATAGATTGAAAATTGATCGGATGGAATTTTGCACGGAGTGGTTATATCAAATATTTTGGCATTGATATTAATAGTGATTTTCAATTTTAGTAGAATGGAAGGTGAAGTTATTAAAGTTACAAATTTATGCTTAAACTTGGTGATACATAAACTGTCGTTACTGCGAGTCAGAAGTGAATCGAATCTCTTGCATGGAATTAATGCAGATTATTTAACACAAGCACGTCTGACATTTGGTAAAAAGCCAAATATATAGTAAACTTTATTGCAAATTCAAATTGATGAAAGTGTTGTTTTGTAAGAATGGATTAAACTGAGATATACCAATAGAGAATAGTGCAAATTTTCAAAATAACAATAAATGGATTTCTTTGTATTCTGATCTTCAAAATATGACAGCCCACTCTGACTTCTTTAAGAGATAAAACTATAACATGCAGAAATTAATGTAAAATAATGCAATCAAAGAACAAATTTGCCTATTTTTTGACGACAGAAATATTTTCAACAAAACTATACTCAAACTACTTGAGGAAAAATTCCACATTTTACTGCATAATTTACGTACACACATTATGACTAATATTTTACATTTGATTTTTTTTTAAAATTCACATGTGGATTTATCTTGCTTAGCATAAAAAAATCTGCACTTATTGAAAAAAACATTTGTTTGGAACTTACTCTTTCCTGTGCTAGCTACTCTGTAAAATATCTAAGGTCAAACTACGGTAAAAAGTATCGTCACTCAAGGTGCTGGTACTTTTTTTCCATAAAATTCTAGGGCATAAAATATTTTGATATACCGTAATTTTTACAGTAATATTTATCCCAATAAAAATCCCTGTATTACTCTAATTAAATATCAAATAATAAAATTATAGTATAATTTCTTATTGCAAAAATTGGTTTTAAGTATGCAGAACCCTGGGCTTAGACCGGTACCCATGTTGCCAGTCTAGGGAAAGAGGAAAAGACCAGTTTTAATGCAATTTGATCTGAAATTTTTTACTGAATAATGAGATAAATTGAAATCATTAATGAGCGGATTTCTAAAAATATTCAATAAGCTGTTAGTCACTGACATTCTTGGTACTTTTAAATTCAGTCTGCAAAGTTTTTCCTTATTGCATAGAAAAGTAAATTTTAATCACATTAAATAAGCTACTTCAATAAATTTACTTATTGTCTAAATTTTGACAAGAAAATAGATAAAAAATATGTAATACACAATCTGTTCAGAGAAAAAAATCAATACAAAATCAATTTACACAAAACTAAAGTGCGATATATTTAATTGAAAAAATAATTCTTCTAACGGAAAATGCTTTTTCTCTAAAATATAAAGCTTAATTAATACATATTTGGTAATTTACAATACATTCCATAAGATTTAATTAAAGAATAAATTCATTCCTTTAACACTACTTGATTAACGATTAATACATTAACATAAATTGTTTCGGAGCAGCGGATGAATTTTGATACAAAATAAGAAAACTTGCTCCACGCTCCATGAAAACTTCTTCTCAAGGACAAACTTCTGAATCTTCAATCAATATCTGTATTTTTCGAACGTATTATTTTGGAACAAATTCAACCAAAGAAAAGTAACATCCATTCTCCGCTGTCATCGATTCATTACAAACAGCAAATATTCTTTCCGATATGAATGAAGATTTCAGAATTTTTTTTCCCTCCTGCTCTTCTCCTTGATGTTTTCGCCATCCCTTAAGGATAATGCGGAAAATGGCCATTTCCTAATTATCCAGTGCCGAATTTCCAAATGAAAGTCATTAAAGACTCCGGCCGTATATTTCAGAAGCGGGAGCAGGAGGGACAGAGGAGTCCTTCTTTAATGAACTTTAGGTCCTAATTGCTGCTTTTTACGAGGATCTCCTCTGTCAGCGCGACGCCTTAATCTATTGTACTCTCCATTGAAATCTTAATTGCCCGGAGTCGGCATGCTAAAAATAAGTATTTCCGGATGCTAGGTTATAGCAGAGAGGATTGGACACACAGCAGTGGAAAGAGGGGTGTTTAGGAAGCATCGATCCGATAATTCTTCCTCTTACACAACAAACCGTTAAATGAATCTCTTCAACTATTGAGATTCAGAGGACAAGTAATTGAGAGAATGAGTATTACTTATACAAGTAACGAGTTGGGAGAAATATTGTGGGCTGATTAAAAACTTGGAAGTTAATTTTAAGAAAGGTGCTCGGTTTGCACTTTTTAATGCCGTAATTTCTGCTATTCTCAATACAACTACATTTCAAGACAATGGAATTCGAGGCGATCAAATATATTCACATTACAATAAGAACCTAGTTTAACAGTATATTATATTATATAAAATTCAGTTATCTGTGGGAAATAAAATATAATTCTTCTTCTTACACAACAAAACATTAAATGAATCTCCTCAGCCATTGAGATTCAGAGGACAAGTAATTGAGAGAATGGGTATTACTTATACAAGTAACGAGTTGGGAGAAATATTGTGGGCTGATTAAAAACTTGGAAGTTAATTTTAAGAAAGGTGCTCGGTTTGCAATTCTTATTGCCGTAATTTCTGCCATACTCGTGACTACATTTCAAGGCAATAGAATTAGAGGTGATCAAATATATTCAGATTGCAATAAGAACCTAGTTTAACAGTATATTATATTATATAGAATTCAGTAATCTGTGGCAAAAAAATATAATTCTTCATATTACACAAAGAGACAAAGCTGTATTTTTATACTTGTTAACAACATTTTAGCTCAGTAATTGAATTTTTAATGTCCCTCTCTCTCGATGGTCAATGGTATAAGCAGGGTGATTTATTACTGCGGCTACAAAAGTGGCGGGGAGTATGGCCTAGGGTCGCCTCTTTATAATAAACTGTCTCTTTGTGTGTAGTTGAAAGAGCAGTTTTATTTATCTTAATTACTTTAATTCCATGTTTCTTCCATGTCCGACTATGGGTTATACGTTTCACAATCTTTATGGTGTGTTCGACTTCGATGTTCGTAACTGCTGTACTGAATCACCCTAGAGATGAAAAGAAAGACAGAATAATAAGTCAATTTTTTGTTAAAGCAACGATCCCAGATCGGTGGGAGTAAGATATACCGAAAGATATTAAAAAAACAAAAACAATCGGAATTGAAAAACTACCTACATGGAAATAGTGTTCTCTGATGCATTGAATAAGAAACAAAATAAAACTAATTAGTTGGAAGGGTAAATACAACAAGGGATAAATAATAGATTTTTAATCCAAAATTGGAAGAATAAAAATTCAGTGTTATTATTTAATTTTGAAAATATTTTTTTTTGTCCCCTCTTAAACTTTATACTATAAAATATAATCAGAAATTATTTTAAAAGAAATTATTGCGATATAGCTATGCAAACACGATGTACTCTTATAAATATATTTACTAAGGTAGTTTTAAGAATCCAAATTTAAAATTTAATATTATATTTAGAGAGTATATATAGTTAAATAAGCAGAGTGATACAATGTGAAAGTTAATATTTCAAATATAAGGTACTCAAAACCTCAAATATATTTATTCTTTATTTATGTAGTACATTTAAAATTTATAAAGATGCATTATCTCTAGAATAGCATTTTAAAGGGAAAAATGGAAACTGAACTAAATATGTAATTAAACCTAAATCTTACATATACAAATAATTGCTATGTTTTAATATGTATAAAATATTCTTTGTTTTTTTTAAACTTTTGATGCAATGAGGCATTCGTTTTTTATATTTGATTTGAGATTCAAATATCTTTCATATGCAAGAAATATGCTTCTTTATAAATCCTAATTCTTTCTGATCATGTTAAAAAAATCCTTTAAGTAAGTTTTATTTAAGCTTTAATTCGGCATGCATATTTTGCAGCTAAAACGGCTTTAAATATAAAAACCCGCCTTTATAAATGTTATTAAAATTTTTTTATGCTGCCCTGAAACACCGTAACAACATTTTTGCAACACCTATTTTATACCATTTCTTTTATTTTATAAAACTGAATTTATAGAATCTTTTGCATTTTCTGAGTCTCTTTCTTTTGCAGGTTAGATAAAATTGCATAAAAAACGCCACTTCAAAGTGGAACATCTGCCAAGTGAGAAAATAAAAAATTTATGAGAAAGTGCAAGATAAAGTGAAAATTCCTGGAGACTCTACTAAAGGTAAGAAGATATAAAAAGAGAGCGTTTCTATTGTCTACATATTATAGAAATGAAAAAGAACTATGACTAGAACTATGAGTGGATTTCCGAAAAAAAGTCGTATGCTAGAAATCTCTCAGAAACTGATAAAAAAAAGTAAATTGAGAGAATATGATAGCAAAAGATAGAAGAATATCCAATAGTTACCTACGCATTTCCTCTAGTGTTTTTTAGTTTATATTTCTTCTAAAAATTCTACTAAAAAGAGATTTGAAAAGGCATGGATAATACATGTTTTTTACATACTCCTGTTATAAAAGAATTGTCAGACGACTGAAAAAAAACAGAGCGTTATATTTTTATTTCAAAATAAATATGTATATATGATTTATTTTATTCAAAACCTGAGCATAATGGTGTTAAAAAAAACTATGTTATGGAAGCTTTTCGAACGAGTAAAATTTAAACTTATTGCGAATTGTTTACAAAATTCATATAATGTTTCTTCACAATTGTTTCTACGCTAAATTTATCAGTATATATGAATAAAATTTGAATAATGCATACATTTCGAAACGTTACTTGTAAAGAATCAGACCAATATTTTAATATAAAGATTACATGCTCGCGTAACCAATTTTAAACAATTGGTTGGATATCCAATCCAAATATTTAAAGTCAGTTCGAATTAATAAATAACACTGGGAAACAAAATGCTTGTTGCATTAATTCAAATACTTGATCTTACTTGATATACTGATATACTTGATATACTTCATATACTTGATCTGAGAGTGGGATTTCAAATATAAAATTAGTTTTGCTCCTAAATTTACAGATTTTTTTTAAATGGAATTTTCGGTCTATTTTTTGTCGAAATGCTGAATTTTTTGGATTATAATCTAATTTTTCAAGATGAATGTAATTGTCTGTGAATATTGAATTGTCATGAATAATGAATATTATCAAGAATAATGAATATCCTCATGAATAAGGAATATCCTCATGAATAAGGAATATCCTCATAAATAATGAATATCATCCTGAATAAGGAACAAATTTTCATGAATTTGTTCATGATTCAAAAATTACAAAAAGGAGGATTCAGAGCTAGCTGTTAAATTCCTGCCCAAATAAAGTCTGTAAAAAATAGAAGATGGTGCAATTACATCTTTAAATTGAAATATACGAATTCAAGGAAAAAAAGTCTTTAAAATTTTGTTATAATCAAAATTATATGTTATGAATTATAATTATATATAAAATTATATTACCAATATTTTTTTAAATCATCCATCACCACTTTTAAATTTTTTTAAAACGTAAACATGTCATTGAAAAAAAATTTCGCCCGCTGTATGCATGAAACTAAAGATTCCACATGATTCGAGAGCTCGGACACGGAACTCTTCTCCAAAACAACGGAACGTAAATCATAGTTATAAGAAATGTTGCCACGGAAAAGGAATTTTTATGTGGTGTGGTCTTGAAGATAAGTGTCTTAATATAGGGCACCAAACATTCTGATATTTTTGTTTTTTAAATTCGTAACTCTGTTTTTTTTTATATATTTCAAAAAAATAATTTGGTTTGAAGATGGGCCATGCTGTATGCCATTCGGGAAAAGACAGTGAGATTCATCCCTGATAGAAAAGGAGAATATTGTAACTTTAACTGATTTTGACTATTTATTTTCTTATTATTATTTTTTTGCAAAATTATTTAATTTAACTTACAAAATTTTAGTTAAGTAAATAATACGCTTTTTCTGTTAATTTAAATTTTTTAGCTAGCGAATACTGTTATGCTTTCAAAGGAAAAAAATAATTTTATTCAAAAGAAAATGAATATGTTGCACCTTACATTGTTAATTATCGTACTTAAGACCATTGGATAACATTCCTTGGATAACACTCATTTTCAGTTTCTTTTCTTTTAAACTTAGTAGTTAAATGAGTTCTGATTTTCATGAAAATTAAAACTCATGCACTTAGATTTAGTTAAGAATAAACTAAAATACTAAAATGGATTTAGTTAATAATAAACGCATTACCAATATTTATTTTGTGAAATTCTTCAAAGATGTATACCTTTAGTAAAGGCATCGTTTTCTTACTTATCATGAATGTCGTTGTAGACGAATTTTATTTACCTTTTCAAAACATTTTCCTAAAAGAATGCTATATTTAATCAAAAATAAAAAGGAATTTTGGTTATTAACGACCTTACTTCAGTTTTCAAATGCAATGTTCAGAGGATTTATTCTCAAATCAATCAAAAATCTCAATAGTCTGAAAAAAGTAGTTAGAATGGCAAATGGTTAGAAAACCTAAAATGATTAACAACACAACAATTGTCTCATTTTGTTTCAGGAATGAACTACACTTACCAAATTCAAATATTATTTTTAGCTGATTTCAAAATTCATCTTTATTTTCATTACAAATACTTACAATGATCTAAGGTAACAGCACTCCACTACCCTTATTTTCATTTTTACTTATTCGCTTCACCTAAACAACTCATTTTCAGACACGATTTAGCTACATTTTTATCCAGTTTTACTTTATCATACACATTTAACATACTCTAAACGTTACTGTAAGACTTTTATCTTAATATTTCACTCAGAATTTACTAAAGCAATAGCTTATAATTACTTTTATCTTAATCAAAAATAGTGAACTTCCTTTGTTAATTTATTTTCTCCTAAAAAATCTTATTAATCATTTCAAATAAAGCAGAATAAATTTATTTTTTCACGTCATGCAAATGCGCTTCTGAGAAAAAATCTTAAGCCTTGCCTTACATAGTCACCTAATACGATTTAGCTACATTTTAATCCAGTTTTACACTATCATACACTTTTAACATATATTAATTTATATAGTTATCTACTCTAAACGTACTGTAAGAATTTTATCGTCATATACCTCTCAGAATTTAATAAAGCAATAACTTATGATCACTTTTATCTTAAACAAAAATAGTAAACTTTCTTCGCTAGTTTATTTTTTCCTAAAAAAAATCTTATTAATCATTTTAAGTTAAGCAGAAGAAATTTAATTTTTTCACGCCATGCAAATGTGCTTCTGAGAAAAAAAATCTTAAGCCTTGCCTTACGTAGTCCATCCTTCAAACAAGATACGAAGCTGCTTACTATTGTAGAGAATGTCAACAAATTCTTATCTCAAAGCTTTGCAAGAAGAGAACAAGATCCAATTTTTCGTCCTGGAATGATGAATCACTAACTTAAGCGCTTCTTACTTTTTCCATTCTGGGCTTACACAGTTTATTTGGTAGTAGTTCAGAAAGTTTTTTTAAGGAAAAGCAAAACTAACTCGAAACAGAAATATGGATAGATATGTATAGCCTTATTTTAGTTTTGCATTACTCAAATATTTTTTTATTCCGTGGCAGAATAAAAAGAATGATTAGCCTCGACTCGAAAAAGTATTTTCATTCTATTATTTTAGATTTATGCTCTTTAGAAGAAAAAGGCATTTTTAGATAACGTTCTAAATTATTTAGTACATGTCCTGTCATGATAAAATAACTATCACTTTTCTTACATCATTTATTGTTTTAAGCTCTTAATAAATATGTCATGATACACCATGAGTTATATTTTTCTTATTATAAAGAGATATATATGTATTCCTCCTAATTAAGGAATTCCGAACGCTCATTACAATACTAATATTACAATTAGTACCGTAAATTCATTCTAAAAATACATTTAAACGTTTAAGTATGCTTTATAAAAAATGATATTCGGCAAAACTAGGTTACACTTGACGTAGATTCAGTTTCGTTTGATTTGTTTTAATTTGTAACAAAGAGAATTAGATATGAAAGTTAAAATGATTTTGCAATCTTACTAAGGTTAACTACAACCATCATCTTTATAGACAGAAATATTGTTAAAATAAAACGTTGGTAAAATTTGTTTCGATTAAAACATTAACAAACTTTTTATTAGAAAATTAACTCATTTCACTTCACCACAAACAATTTATATAGAAAAACATATAAAATGGAAAGAGTTCTGCCTGTCCAATAGAGGGCGTTGTAATCACTCACACTAATTATGTTATGTATCACTTGTATTCAGGCAATCGATCGAAATGGAAGGGTTATTGGAAAGCCTAAAAATATAGTTTGTTTTCATTATTTTACTAGTATCTGTAAATCTTTTATTGATTATGACTTTTTTATTTTTCTTACCATTTGCCTTTAATCATTAAGCAACAATATTTGTTAAATTTCGTGGTTTTTTTTTCAATCGCATCTAGCTTAGTATACTTTTTTTTCTAATCACGTTTTCAAGGTTTGGAGGTTTCATATCTGATAAAAACTTAGTGTCTAAGAACACTGAGGTAATTTGCAAGGTTTTACTTGCTTCATTTCTGTGAAATTTCATAGTCTCTTGTGAGTATTTTCTTTGTATTTTTAAGGACACTTTCAGTTTTTAATTTCCAGTAACTCTTTGTGAGACTCTTAATAAATGATTTCCAGTGGGTTTTCACGCATTTTTACCTAAAACACTTTCAAATGTAATTAATGCATATTAGGTTTCATAAATTTTTCATGTTCGTATCTCAGAATTTTTGGTATGGTTGACTTTCCCACTATATTTGATAAGGTTCCAAGATATGGACTAATGTAATTTTTGTACCAGTAGACAGAAGGGAAATGATGAAATTGCTAATAAGTTCTCGAAATTTAAATCATGATAAAATATAAATAACTCTATTACCTTACAAGAATTTCTTCAAACCAAACTTTTAATCATATTAAAAAGCAATCAGTTCGCTCCGTTCCACTCCCAAAAATTTATAAAAACTTAAAATTGTCCCTAACAGTTTATAGTGCATAAAAAATCCTCTCAAATCTGTCGCTCTATTGCTATTAAAAATAAAATAATGAACTGAATTGAATATTTAACCTCATCTATAACCTGAAATTGCAAATCAGACTCTTCTTAAAAACTCCCACGCTATAAAGTACCCCCGAAGATT